AACATTTATTAAATACCAATTGGCCTTGGGGCAATTGATTGAAGGATCAGGAGCACAGGTAATGATTTCCTTGATCCTTCCAGTAACAGAGTATTTATTAAATACAGTGGACTGGGATATTTAGAAGTGATGTACCAGGAAGAAGCTTCCTCCTCCTCCTTCTCCTAAAAACAAGTAGGACTGGTACCTTATACAGCAGGTATGAGTCCCTGGAACTAGAGGGCCAGACAACTGATGAGGTGGGCGAAAGTTCTTCTGGGGCAGAGGGGACTCCTAAACCAACACCAACTGTACTCTGCATCACGGCCACCTCCGCTGAAAGGGGAACAGAGGGCCTGATGTGCACACTGGACCCAACTCACAGGGAAGTCTGTTGTCTCTCAGGAGCTCTGCTGACAGAGGGAAGAGTGCCAGCAAAACTTGAACTCAGGACATGAGGAGAGCAGACTTCAGGCTGCTTGGGGAACGAGCAAGTAAAGTCCCCTAGGAAAATGTTTTTGCTGGTGCTCAAGCCCACCAGTGCTGGTCACTCTCTAAACATTGTCTCCTAAGGGCACAGGAGCAGGCAATTCCTAAATGTCAGAAGTCAAGCAGATGAGGCAGAAGGCTGAACAGGGAAATAAGGTGAAAAAGGAAGGTGTATGCTCAGCAGAAGCAAGATCAGCTGATGTGAGAAGAATACAGAGATACTGCTTGCCACTGCAGAAACAAAATTCATGTGGCCAAAGCTCAGCTGGAGTAAAAGCTGGCCAGAAATGTGGGGGACAAAAAAGAGTTTTTTCAAATACATTAATGGCAATAGGTAGTGTGTAACATTAGCCTGTCATAGGATGAGAATGGTCACCTCACAAACAGGAACAGAGACAAGGCAAAGGCATTTAATGCTTTCTTTGCCTCTGCCTTCAACATGGATGATGGACCAAGAGAGACTCAATGTCCTGAGCTGGAGGACCATGACTGTGAGAATGATCAACTCCCAGATGACCCTGAAGTTGTGCAGGATCTACAACAGGATAACTCACCTAGTTGATCTAGGAAAGCCAGTAGATGTAATCCTTTTGGACTTTAGCAAAGCTTTTGGTACTGTCTCACACAGTATCCTTCTGTACAAAATATGCAGCACACAGCTGGATAACCATGTTATGTAATGGGTGAGCAGCTGCCTCGCAGGTTGGGCACAAAGGGTTATACTGAAGGGGGTATCATCAGGCTGGTGACCTGTCACTAGTGGGGTTCTGCAGGGCTCCATCCTCGGCCCAGTTCTCTTCAACATCTTCATTAATGATTTGGACACAGGACTCGAAGGAATACTAAGTAATTTTGCCAACAACACTAAATTGGGAGGAGCTGTTGACTCCCTCAGGGACAGAGAGGCCCTGCAGAGAGACCTCAAAAAATGAGAGATGAGCAATCCCCAACCATATGAAGTTTAACAAGGGCAAGTGCTGGATTCTGCATCTGAGATGGAGCAACCCTGGTTGTCTCTACAGACTAAGGAACAAGAGACTGAAGAGCAACACTGCAGAAAGAGACCTGGGGGTCCTGGTCAATGGCCAGTTGAATATGAGTCAGCAGTGCCCTGGCAGCCAAGAGGACCAACCGTGTCCTGGGGGGCATCAGGCAAAGCATCACCAGCCGGTCATGAAGGAGATTGTCCCACTCTGCTCTGCACTGGTATAGCCTCACCTTGAATATTGTGTGCAGTTTTGGGCACCACAATATAAGAAAGACTTTACGTTATTAGAGAGCGTCCTAAGGAGATGGTCTGAACTTGGTCTGTTCAACCTGGAGAAGAGGAGACTGAGGGGAGACCTCACTGTGGTCTTCAACATCCTTACAAGGGGATGAACACTGGAAGAGGCTCCTCAGGGAAATGGTCACATCACCAAATCTGACAGAGTTCATGAAGTGCTTGGACAATGCTGTCAGGCATATGGTGGGATTCTTTGGGTTTCCTGCACAGGGCCAGGAGTTGAATTTGGTGATCCTGATGGGTTCCTTCCAACTCAGCATATTCTATGGTTGCACGATTCTATGAAACTTTCCCAAAGTTCAGTCAGGAATTCAGGGATGCATTTTTCTCCAATTCTGGTATGGATAAATGCTTTCAGGAAGGTCCTTTTTGTGAGCCTATGTGACTTATGGCCCATTTTATGCCCTATGGAAGCACAGAATGATTCGTGTTGGAAGAGTCCTTCAAAAATTATCTAGACCAACTTTGTTGTCGTGAGTAGAGACACCTTTCGCTAGACCAGGTTGCTCAAAGACCCATCCAACCTGGCTTTGAAATCTTCCACTGAAGGCATCAACAACTTCTTTGGGCAACCTGTTTCAGTGTGTCTCACCACCTCCATAATGAAAAATTTTTTCCTTACAACTTATCTAAATCTACCTTCTTTCACCACAAAATCTTGCCTCTTGCCCTGTCACTACAGGCCCTGGTGAAGGTGAGGTGTCAGTGGAGTGAATGAAGAGAATCACCTCCCTCGACCTGCTAGCCACACTTCTTTTTATGCAGCCCAGGATACAACTAGTTTTCTGGGCTGCACATTATCACCTCATGTCCAAGTTTTTATCCACCTATATCTCTAAGTCTTTCTATGCAGGGCTGTTTGCAATCAGTTCATCCTTCAGCCTGTAATTATATTTGGAATGGCCCTGACCCGGGTGCAGGGCCTTGCACTTGACCTTGTTTCACTTCATGAGGTTCAAAGG